TGTTTAGCCAATACGGCCGCGGCTCTCGTGGCCGCCTCGGTCTCGCGGGCCTATCAGAATGCAGCGGGTCAGGGAAGCGTATCCTTGGGCGCTTAGCGTAAAGGCCGCGTATAGGAGAACCGGCCGGCTTCCTGGCTGGGCAGAGAAGGACCGGAGCCGTCAGTCCCGACTAATAGAGCGGCGTTGCAGACGCTGACCTTCCATAATCGAGGGCGTCCCAGCCTTAAAGATTCCTCACTTGCTTATGGTGTATAGTTTTCCAAAAACTTTGCTGGTTACAAGCTATTGGACAGCGAGCATAAAAGTTAATATCCTCAGGCCAGCCCAGTGGCGTAGTGGCTCGGGTAGGTGGATCCCATAAGGCGGTTCGAGTCCCAAACCGGCGGCTTGAAAAACAATAGGCGGGCTCGTATGCATCTGCTAAATCCCAAGAGCAGAGTGGAGAAGAAAGAATTGCAGTGTGAGCATCCCCCTGGGGGGTGGGCGTTTTTGTTTTGTTTGGTTTGGTTTTTGAGTGAGAGTGGTTTTTGCTATAGGGTGCGTGCACTCGCCAGAGAGACAAGAGACATAGAAATAGAAAGTGAAAAATAACACACGGGGGGGAGGGGGCAGGAGTGTGTGGACAGAGACGGCCATGCCACAAACGCTTCTCCATGCTCTTCTTGGGATTTTGTTGGGCATGCACACACACCTGCCAGTGAGTTTTAAGCCTCGGGGTCCAGGACTCAAACCACTGTCAATTCCATGGGAGTCCAGCGATATAACCATTATGCCATCTGCTGGTCCCAGGGGATGGTTTTTTTCACTCCCACCCAACCCCTGCTCTTGTGAGTGTACATGCCCTATACCAAAAACTAAAAAAAAAAAAAGGGTCTCATGTTATTTAAATGACTTCTCTAAAACCGTATCTTAACCTTTTGGCAAAACAAGGTTTAAGAATTCCAACATTTTTCATTTTCTAAGACTTTGGCCATAGAGCAAATTCACTTGTCAGGGAGAAACAGAGACAGTGAGGGGGAAGGGAGAAATCACCCCCTCCCCCAGGTGGGATGGCCACACCACAATACCTTCTCCATTATTCTCTTCCTGGGATTTGGGGCATGAGTGCACACATGCCTGGCACGATTTTCAAGCCACCATCTCCAGGACTCGAACCACAGTAGCCATGTGGGAGTCTAGTGCCACAACTACTATGCAACCTGCTGGCCCCAAGTTTTCCAACTTCTAATCCATAGTTTTTTGTAGTAAGTCACTCAAAGTTGAGCTAAATAACTCTCCAAGTTGTCCCTAAAGTAAAGATTTGGAATAAAAACTAAGCCAATACAAGAATAGAGAGTTAGGTATTGCTATTCTGTTCCAGTACCAGCTCTGCCATATACTAGCAGTGTAAACTTTGGGTAAATTCATTATTTTCTTTGGTTTTCAGTTACTGGCACTAGGCTTGTTGTGAAGACTGGGTTATAGTCCTTCAGAGTATTTTTTTGTTTTTGAGAGGTTTTTTTTTGTTTTGTTTTGTTTTTGCTATATAGTGCATGCGTTCCCCAGACAGAGACAGAAAGTGAGAAATCACCCCCCCCAGGGGGGATGGCCATGCCGCAATCCCTTCTCCTCCATTCTCTCAGGATCTTGGGCACACACGCACACACACCTGTCATGAGTTTTAAGCCACCCAGTCTGGGATGCAAACCGTGGTCTATAGGGCATGTGCATTCACCAGAAAGACAGAGACAGACAGAGACAGAAAGTGAGAAATCACCCCCAAGAAGGGTGGCCCCCTTCTCCTCCATCCTCCTCTCAGGACTTTGGGCATGCACAAACATGCACCCAGCATGAGTTTTAAGCCACTGGGTCTGGGACTCGAACCATAGTCAACTATATGGAACTCCAGCAACTTAACCATTATGCTATCTGCTAGTCCCCCATCAGAGTTCTTAGGGCATAACAAGTGCTCAATAATGGTCATGTTCATTATGAATTGTACTGTGCAGAATGGGATGGGCAAAGTGTCTGTGAGGTAGAAAGTGGAGAAGGCTGGGTAATTTTCCTTGATTATTCTGTGAGATAGGAGAATTGGTGGTAGCTCTCAGTTCTTTTTCCTTCTTTTACACTAGAATATCACCTTCCACTGCCTACATTAAAAAAAAATTTTTAGGGACCAGCAGTTAGCGTAATGGCTGTGTCGCTGGACTCCCACATAGTCGACCGTGGTTTGTGTCCCAGACCCGGTGGCTTAAACTCACTGGGCGCGTGTGTGTGCGTGCCCAGGATCCCAAGAGGAGAATGGAGGAGAAGGGATTGTGGTGCGGCCATCCCCCCTGGGGGGTGATTTCTCACTTTCTATCTCTCTGTCTCTCTCTGTCTGTCTGGCGAGTGCACACGCCCTATAGCAAAAACAAAACAAAACAAAACAAAACTCTCAAAAAAAATTTTAGTGGACTCTGCTTACAATGATCTTTTTTTTTTTTCATTTAAAGCTACAGAAAAGTCTGCACATAAACAAGGCATTTAATTCTGATAATAAAAAATACCCCCTCACAAACAACAAAGGTGTCCAGTCAGATTCTACAGTGTGCTTATGTTGTATCACATTCTATACATGGGAGTATTTTCTTGCAAGTATGTAGGTTTAATGTCAATTCTTTCTGGAAATAGTAACTTCTCACAAATTGCTTCTTTGATTCGTAAATGCTGTGATATTTCATTAGGTTCCGTGAAGAGGGAAGGTGGAACAGGCATTAAATTAGCAATTTTGCTCTCTCGTGATGTATATTTTTCTAACATGCAGGTCTTGTCAGCCTCATAGTAGAGTCTTGTATCATTCATCCTGATAAACACCCCATCAATTCTCAAGAAAAACCGCAACAGCAGGAAAAAGCTAGAAGGCATTACTCTAATTTTCACACTCAGGCGTGAAACTCCATGATCATGAAGTTTATCCTCAGACAAGAGAACTTCTTAACCTTTACTTCAGAGATTCTCAAGAGACCAGCAGATGGCATAATGGCTAAGTTGCTGGACTCCCATGGAGTCGACTGTGGTCCGAGTCCCGGATCTGCTGGCTTAAACTCATGCCAGGCACATGTGCTGCATGCCCAAGATCCCAAGAGGAGAATGGAGAAGAGATTATAGTGTGACCACCTGCCTTGGGGGACGGGGTTGATTTCTCGCTTTCTGTCTCTCTGTCTCTCTCTGGTGAGCACACATGCCCTATAGCAAAAACCTCTTCAAAAAAAAAAAGATTCCCCAAGTAATGTCCCCTGTGGGAGGCTGTGCACCAGCGAGTCTGCTGAGATTTCTCAGAGAGCAAACAATTACCATGATTGGTTCCCTTCCAAAAACCTGACCTTCAAAACCTTGCTCTGATTGGCCACTAGAATCCCTCAAATTTGCATATCCGGCACCTCATGATTGTTCCAAAAGCAACCAATCACAGCCCACTGCTTACAACCAATCACGGCCCACCATTTACAACCAATCACAGCCCACCATTTACAACCCACCAGAGTGTATATAACCACGATGCCTGGCCCACAGTAGCCAGACGACAATGACCAGGACGACGACGACTGGGAAGATGACAACTGAAGAGCCTGAAGAGCTGAAACACCGCGCAGTCTCCAGACGATCCTGAAGAGCTGACACTGCATCGTCTCCAGACGACCTGGGAGACCCTGAAGAGCTGTAACACTACATCGTCTCGGACGACCCTTAAGAGATGTGACACTGCATCATCTCCGTGCTGCTCACAGTAGACGACGCGACCCTTAAGAGCTGTGACACTGCGTTGTTTCTGTGCTGTACCGTGCTGCCCACAATAAATGGACGACACTGTCGTCTCCGTGTTGTAACACTACGCCGCTTGTCCCGGCTCTCACTCCTTCACTCAGGAAACCTGTTCGGCTGTCCCCCTGGGTCGGGACAGTCCCCTTATAATCTGTAGTATAGGTCCAATCATATGGTTTAATAACCTCTTTGGAATATTTGCCTTCCATCCTTCTTTCCTGCCACTCTTAGCACAGGCTACTTTAAGCATCCTTTGGTAGTTATTCACACATATGTGACATTGAACTCATACCAAAGCCAGTGCCATGTTGGATTCTTAAAATATTGTTTCTAAACATCATTTCAGGGAGCTACAGCATATTGAATTCACAGCTAACTTCTCCACATCCGCTAACTTCTCCACATCCACCGACTTCATGATGTGCATCTTGGCTGCCATCTGTTTTCAGGACCCAAAGGAGAAGTCTTGGTGGTTTCTCTGGAAACCATGGATCATCAAGGCCGCAGATGCTCAGCAGGCATGGTGATGGCAGTGGTGGCAGCCTGGCTTCTTGCTCTTCTCCCTCTGCCTTGTGGCTACCTTCCACTGTCTCTGTATAACCTAAGGGCTTCTCAGAAACGTATATAATGTATCTGTACAATGCATAATGTTAAGGCTTGACTTGTGTCCCCATGAAATTGATATGTTGAAGTCCTAACCCCCAGTAACTATGAAGGTAACTTCATTTAGAGATAGGGTCCTTACCAAATTAAAATGATGTTAACAGTGGGGCCAGCAGGTGACATGGTGGTTAAGACATGACTCCCACCATGGTACAAGTCAAGGACCTGGTGACTTGAAGATCATGCTGGACACACACACATGGCATACCCAAAATCCTGAGAGGTGAATGGAAGAGAAGGGAATAGTGTAGCCATCTGCTGTGGGGGTGGGGTTGATTTCTCACTTTCCCCCTCTCTCTCTCCAGTGAGTGTATGCAGCCTATGGCAAAAAATTTTTAAAAATGAGGTTATTAATATGAGCCCTAATCTACTGGTGTCTGTATAAAAAGGGAAAATTTGGAGACAGACCAGGCATACAATGAGATTGTCATATGAAGATGAAGGCAGAGATTAGCATGATGCCTCTACTAGCCAAAAAATGCCAGAAATTTGCTAGCAAACCAACATGAGCCAGAAGAGATGCAATAAGACATGAGCAGATTCTTCCCGTGAGCCTTGGAAGCAACCAGTCCTGTAGGCCACATAATTTCACACGTCTAGCCTCCAGAACTGAGACAAAAATGTCTGCTGTTTAAGCCACCCAATTTGTGATGCCCTTGTTACTACAGCCTAGCTGTTCCACATTACACCCTTCAACTACCTGCATACACCTCCCTGTAAAGAAGGGCAGGGGCCCACTTATTTATTTTTTTAATAATTATTTAATTTAATTTATTATTATTATTATTAGTAGTAGTAGTAGTAGTATTAATTTGACCAGAGAGAGAGAAAGTAAGAAAGCAAGCTACCAGGTCAGGGCTTGAACCCTGGTTGTCCACATGGGAGTCCAGCTCCCTTAACCACCACATCACCTGCTGGCCCCAAGGGACCCACCTATTTCTGTGGGTGATGGGTACTCAGTAGATATTGGACAGTTGAAAGCCCACTGGGTGCTCTGCAATGCGCCAGGGAGGTGCTATGGCATAGACCAACAATATATAAATTTGGAGACTAGCAGTTGGTGTAATGGCTATGTTGCTGGATTCCCATGTAGTCAACCGCAGTTTGAGTCCCAGACCCGGTGGCTTAAACCCACGCCAGGCGCGTGTGTGTGCGTGCCCAAGATCCTGAGAGGAGAATATCTTTCTGGCAAGTGCACGCACCCGATAGTAAAAATCTCTAAAAAAGTTCAAATAAAAATAAAAAAAGTTAAAATACATAAATTTGACTTTATGCATTTTTGGGAATAGACGCACAGTAGGAAGAGGTCAGGTGGGTTTCTTGAATGAGTGAACAAACAAGGTAGCTTTAGGCAAAACTATATATACAATAAATCAATATTGAAGCGGTAGAAGACAGGCCTGAGTGCTGGAGTTTGAAATGGGCACGCTGGTCTCATTCATCAAGACACCAGCGACTTAACATCCGGTAAGACACAATTCTTTTGAGCCTCAGTTTCCTCATCTTTGTGAAGATCAGAAGCGGTAACATTTGACGTACATGGCTGCACTTAAAAATATTTATTTTTCCCAATCCTAAAAGTTCCCTGCGCCCGCGCTTGGCCACCTGCTCGGAAGCGCGCAATTTTCTTTGACTGACTGCGGGAAGCGGTCCAGGACTGGCATCCGCCCGGGGAGCGAGAACAGTAAGCCACCGAGACGCAACTCATCCTCCGGAGCGGCTAGAGAGACCCAGGAAGAGCCGGAAGTGGGCACCACAGGTAGCCGGCGACGCACTTCCTTCCTGGATTTTTCACTTAGTTCTTTTGGGTCTCAGGATTAAGCAGGTTCTAGAAGCAAGAACTGTGCTAGGAGGGAGAGCGGATTTGGAGACAGTACAGTGGTGCGCCCCTGCTCTAGGGAGGGCTGCTGAGCACTTTGGGTTTACGCTCGTCTCATCTGAAAGCAAGACTTCGGGAATGTCAGCTCATGCCAGAGAAAGATGAATTGGAGCTTGATCGCCCCGAGGCGCGGCAGTAACGGCAAGGTGGAAGCCTGGATGATGGCTGCGAGGTCCAGGGTCGCCACGCCGCCCCCACCGGAGAGACTTTTGGTAGTGAAGGTGGAGGACGACTCACCCAGAGGTGGGGAGTCAGACCAACCTGGGGCTTGGCAGGACCCCGAAACTTCTCGACAGCATTTTAGGCAGTTCCGTTACCAAGAGGTGGCTGGACCTGAAGAAGCTCTGAGCCGGCTCAGGGAGCTTTGCCGTCGGTGGCTAAGGCCCGAGATGCACTCCAAAGAGCAAATCCTGGAGCTGCTGGTGCTGGAGCAGTTCCTGACCATCCTGCCCGAGGAGATGCAGGCCTGGGTGCGAGAGCACTGCGGGGAGAGCGGGGAGGAGGCTGTGGCCGTGGTGCGGGCCGTTCAGAGAGCGCTGGATGGGACCTCACCCGAGGTGAGCACTGGTGGGAGCGCGGGCGATACTCAGTCTCAGACATTCTTTCCTTCCTTATTTCTTTTCGTGTAATGTGTGTGAACTTTCTTTCCTTCCCTTGGAAATCTATTTAAGAAATGACGCTAATTACAGACCTCCACATAGAACCGACACCGATTTCTGTTTATGCACGTAAGACACCTCGTTTTACCAGACTGAGAAAGATGTCAATATAAAAATAAAGTGACCTCATGTCCGTAAGCTACTTATTTTAGAACAGTGGTTCCTCACTACTTGGAACGTGAGGATTTTTATTTTTTTTTATTTTTTTTTATGGCTTGGAGACATAACAATAGTGATTTTCCCTTTTTATTTTTCGATCTACAAAGATTTCCTTTTAATCCATGAAGAGTTTGCAATGCAGCACTGGTGGGCTTTCAGCAAAAGCAGGTTCAGTATAATTCGTTTTAATTCATAAAATACCGTGGTACGTTAAATAATTAGTCTTGTTTCACTGAGGGACAGCCAGTTTACCTAATTCTGCACTTTTTGTTTCTTGTTATTTCATCCCTTTTAGTTGCTGCTGGACCAATGTCACAATTAACTGTAATAGATTTTTTTGGTAATTATTTTATTTAACTTTATTTACTTACTTACTTAACTAATTTGACCAAAGAGGGACCGAGAGAATGTGAGAAAACAAGCCGCTAGCTCCAAGACTTGAACTGTTGTCGACCATGTGGGAGTCCAGCATCCTTAACCACCGCGCCACCTGCTGACTCCAGTAGTTTTTATTTTTTAATTATTTTATCCAACTTTATTTATTTATTTGAATTTGATGGGGGAGGGGCACAACTGAGAATTAGAGATTTAATGTGTCAGTGTTAAGATATTGGCAGAAACGTGATCTTGGTAAATTGCTGTTATTCAGAATTTTTAACTGATGACTTACTGTTGGTTTTGTTTTTTGTTTTTTAAAGACTTACTTAATTAAAAAAAAAAAGACTTATTTAATTCCATCTTTTTAAAGAATTCTTTGAACTTTATTTATTTATTTATAATTTTTTACCAGAGTGGGACAGAGTGAGAGTGTGAGAGAAAGCTGCCAGGTCCAGGACTGGATCCGTGGCTAGCCATACGGGAGTCCAGCGCTTTTAACCACCATGCCACCTGCCAGCCCCCTGATGACCTTTTATATTGATGAACCTAACTCCATATTACTTCTCTGTTAAAACCTTAAAAGGTCATTTTATCAGCACCTTTAAACAGCTGATCAGAGTTCTCCGACGTTGGTTTTAAAGGTGGGAAGAAAGGAATGTCATTGGGATAAGCAGCATATTGACTTTCTCACACCACTTTGGGCAGGTGTTATTTATTTATTTGGTAAGAATTATTTTTACTTGGTGCTGGCAGGTGGTGTGGTTAAAGGTGCTGGACTCACACATGGCCGACTTGTGGTTCGAGTCCCGGACCTGGCGGTTTGCTTTCTCACTTTCCTTCTCTCTCTGTCTTTCTCACTCTGTCACTCTCTGGTCAAATTTAAATAAATAAATAAAGTTAAACAAAATTTTAAAAAGAATTATTTTTATTTAAATCTATTTTTTAAAATTTGACCAGAGATGGAGAGAGGATTCCCAGTACTTTGTTTCCAAAGAATATCTTGGAAGATTCCCTCTGTATCTTTTTTTTTTTTTTTTTTTTTGAGAGATTTTTAGTATAGGGCACGCGCGCTCCCTGGAGAGACAGAGAGACAGAAATCATCCCCCGGGGGGATGTCCACACTGCAATCCCTTCTCCTCCATTCACCTTTCGGGGATCTTGGGCATGTGTGCACACACACCGAGTGTGAGTTTTAAACCATTGGATCCAGGACTTGAACGGTGGTCAACTATGTGGGAGTCCAGTGACGTAACCATTAAGCCATTTGCTGGACCCCTCCCTCCCCCGTGTCTTTTAATGTAGTTTTTAAACAGTGCCACTGCAACATGCTGTTATATTTCATTTTGTTTTTCCTTAACCAGAAGAATGAAAGCGAGCTGTGGTGTATATAAGCCAAAAGTCATTAATATTTGGCATTAGAATGTGGTTATTTGCAGCAATTTAAAACAAAAACCTGTAGCTGAAACATGCCTTAGTGATGCCATTTTCTCTCATTGTAAACATAAATTATGGTCAGAAAAAAGATTTAAAGTCACACAACTACTTAAGATAGGAAAAGCGCTGGCCTGGGAGTTAGGAGATTCAGGTTCTAGTAACCATATCTACCTTTTCTAGCCTTGACTAGTTTCTTAGTCATGTAGCTTCTGTTTCCTCATTTGTAAAAGGACGTTATTTAGTCGAATAATAACAGAAGGCAGCTTCTGCCTTTGACTCCTGGTCCACTGCTATGTACTTGTGTAGATCTTATTTATAGTCCTAGTTATTTTTGGTTTTGCAGATACTAAAATGCAGAGGCCTTCAGAAGAGTACTTAGAAAAATAAAGTAGTATTGAGAAAGTCTTTGCATTACTGTTATTTTTTTTAATAGCGTACATTTTTTATTATTTAACTTTCTTTATTATTTTAATTTGACCACAGGAAGACAGAAAGAGAAAGAAAGTGAGAAAGCAAGCTGTCTAACCACGTGAGAGACTCAGCCATGTTGGAGTCCAGCATCTTTAACCATCACACCACCTGCAGGCCCTCCATTATTATTTTTTAAAAAGAATTATTTATTTAATTTATTTACTATTATTATTATTATTTTAAATTTCCGTAGGGCACATGCAGTTACGAGAGAGAGCGAGAGAGAGAAAGTGAGAAAGCAAGCCACCAAGTCTGGGACACAAACCGTAGTCGACCATATGGGAGTCCCGCACCTTAACCCCATGCTATCTACTGGCCCCCATTACTGGTTTTTAAATACAAGTTGTGTGTTTCTTTTCATTTTGCCTGAGGGGCACATGTGCTCACCACCCAAAGGAACAGGAAGGGAAAGTGAGAAAGCATCCCCTCATGGTAAATGGCCATGCTACAACTCCTTCTCCTGCATGTCTTCCTCTTTTCAGGATTTTGGGCACACACAAGCACACACAACCCAGTGTGTTTCAAGCTGCCAGGTCTGGGACTTAACCCACATGTTTGAGTCGCCTTAACCACTATACCACAGGATGGCCCCAGTTTTTGTTTTTAATTTATTTTTATTCATGATAGAAAGCATATACATACATGCAGTGGGGCAGGAAGCATCTTCTTCTAGTGGGGTCTGGTCATGCTGGGATCATTTTCCTCCAGTTCTCCACTCTGTCAGGATCCTGGCCATAGAGCTGGCCCTTGAAACATTCTTTGAGTATGCTGTTTCTAAGAAACAATTCACCATCATTGTCAATATGAAAAGTTAATCTTTCGGGACCAGCAGTTAGCGTAATGGCTATGTCGCTGGACTCCCATGTAGTCGACTGCGGTTCAAGTCCTGGACCCGGTGGCTTAAACTCATGTGCGTGCCCAAGATCCCAAGAGGAGGATGGAGGAGAAGGGATTGCGGTGTGGATCCCCCTTGGGTGCGATTTCTTACTTTCTTTCTCTCTGTCTCTCTCTGTCTTTCTGGTGAGCACATGCGCCCTATAGCTAAAAACCTCTCCAAAAAAAGAAAAAAAAAGTTAATCTTAAAACATTTCTAGACTGGGAACCAGCAGTTAGCGTAATGGCTATGTCGCTGGACTCCCACGTAGTCGACCACAGTTCGCGTCCTGGATCCAGTGGCTTAAAACTCATGCCGGGTGCGTGTGCATGCGTGCCCAAGATCCCGAGAGGAGAATGGAGGAGAAGGGATTGCGGCGTGACCATCCCCTCTGGGGGGTGATTTCTCGCTTTGTCTCTCTGTCTCTCTCTGTCTGTCTGGCGAGCGCACGCGCCCTATAGCAAAAAAAAATCTCTCCAAAAAAAAACCAAAAACATTTCTAGACAAGAGGGTTGGCAGGTGACATGGTGGGTAAGGGTGTTAGACTCCCACATGCTGACCATGTGGTTTGCTTTCTCACTTTCCCTCTCTCTCTCTCTTCATCTGTCCCTCTCTGGTGAAATTAAAATACATTTCTTGTTTTGGTTATGTTCAAAGACGAAGTTCTCAAACTTGGCACTAGTGACATTTGGGCCAGATACTTCTCTGTTATGGGAGCTGTCCTGTGCATTATATAACGTTTAGCAGCATCCCTGGCCTCTGCCCACTAGATGGCAGTCACCCCCACCACAACCACTTGTGACAACTAAAAATGTCCTCAGCATTGCCAGGTGTCTTCTGGGGTACAAAATCACCTCCAGTTTAGACTCACTGATCTAAGGCATAGAGTTTTAGAGGTTTGGGTTCTGCATTTCTGTCAGTTAGAGTGGACACACACTTATCCCTGCCTGAAGACTCTGCATCAGTCATTGTCCTTCCATCTGGAGATAGGAGACCTCTGGTTAAACTCCCCAGATGAGATGTCAGCCTACTCAGGTCTACACTTGATTTGCAACTCTATATCTCTGTTCCCAGAATGTCTTTTAGCTGTAATTACAAATTAATGGCTGGCTAGCCTTACAAAAGCTTTGTTGGGAGAAGGAATATTTGTAGAGGCTTTCCTGAAGGATATGCAGTCCATCCTTCATTTCTTCTGAAAGTCTTGATGTTAAATAAAAGGTGGGGCGGGGGGAGGATGGTGGGCCCAGGAGGAGAAAGGTAAAGTATAAGTATAACCAAGAAGATTTTCTCAAGTTGCCTAAGGTCCCATAATGAGTAAGTAGAGAACTAGAATTCAGAGTCAGTCCCATGGCTTCCTAGTTAGGGGAACCTGATCCCAAGGAGTTGACTGCTTGATTTGAATCCCAGCTCCAGCCACTTTGTGTGCCAAAATCATGACATGATGGGAAAATGGAGAAGGTATTGCAGTATGACCATGCCCCGTTGGGGGTGCATTTTTCCTCTTTCCAGCAAGTGCGTGTGCCCTCTGACAAAAATTTTAAAGAGAGAAGTAGAATTCAGACTCGTGTAACAGGTCCCACAATCCATGCCCCTAACCCCAGTGCCACAGTTCCTGGCTGGGAAGAGTGTGAGAGAAGCAGCAATGAGATTCAGGCAGGGTTACCTTTTGATTTCCAATCTCATTCTTACTGTCATAGTCGTCATTGAATTAGCAGCAAGGACAGGAAGAAACCAAATTATAAGGGAAGGTACAAGTTGCTCAGGCCAGTGGGAACCCAAGGAGACGGCCAGCCATCTCGGATGTGGGAGGAGTCCCAGGAAGGTTTTTTTGCACTTATTGTCACTCTCTACAATCCCTGCTATCATGTCTCACACTCTGTAGTGAGGGTTGTTCTATGGGTTTCAACGTGATATAAACAAGGGATGGTGAGTGATGGGCTCTGCTATTTGAGGGAGAGAGGGAACCATTGCAAGGTAGTATTTCTATTTTCTTACAAGATGGTCAGTCAGGTACAGCCATGGGAGAGGCTCAGGAAAAAACTTACTATATTCACAAGTCCTAGAGAGGAGGCACAGCATGGCATGCAGGGCCACATTGGAAAACACTAATGACCACTAGGAGGCAGAAGGTCAAAAGTGAGGGGAGAGCCTAAGCCACGACCTTTATTGGAATTTCCCCAAGAAAGGCAAGGCAGGGCAGTGCAGGTGAGCAATTTAAAACTGGCAAGTCTGAATCATTTTAGTGGGCACCTAGGGGTGGACTGTAGTTGCCTGGTAGCTGGTCCTGGGGTGATTAATGCCGAGGAATATTGCCTCCTGGGGTATCTGCGGCAAATGGAGCAGGTCACTTGGTCTTTCAGAGGCATGCCTGAAAGGCTGAGCCCTGTGCATTATTTCTTAAGTGAGAATTTTCTTTTTAAGATGTTGAAATGTCATACAGAAAGTAAAACACACACACACAGAGTAAAGTGAGTCAAGGTCTGGCTCCATAGCACAGCATAGCTTTGCATAGAAAGCCAGATCCCATATGGCCCACCGCAGTTCTAATCCCAGCCCTGGTAGCTTGAGAAACATGTTGGGCCTGTATACATGTGTTCCCAAAGTCCTGACAGGTCGGAGATGTGAAGGGAAAGGGACTGTAGTGTGGCCATATCCCATTTCTGCTCTCTCATTCTCTGTGATTGCATACACCCTTTGTCAATAAAACAACAGCATAAATAAGAGTAAACATTGAAACATTCAAAAAAATAAAATACAGTGAGCCAGAAAGCCTCGGAGTCCATTTATGAGCCATCACTGAACCTCAACACCTATCTCTCTCACCTCAGAAACTTTCCCTTCTGAGGATTGGGGGTTTAACCTTTGTGAATGGTTAGCCTTCATCTAAATAAGCCATCTTAGAAGATAAGCTTGTTGGATACTTATTTTATTGTGAAGCAGTCAAGGGAAGGAAAAGGAAATATTGCTGAGCACCTGCTGTGGTTAGGAACCTTCATTCTTCAGATATTTGTATCCATTTTCCTAATGTCTCAGAGAGCCAGCATTAGACTGTCTGCTTATGTGTTTCTTTTTCATTTATATTGGGTTTCCATTTTTATATATCTAAGTGATACAATTTAAGTAAATACATTGCTTCTACCTACCCAAAGTTGGTGGACAATCCACAGAAAGGCCTTTCAGAATTACAAGACAATGTCAGCCTCTGTCATTGTTCCCTTTGATACTTCTGGTCAGCATAGAACTCATTGGCAAAGATCCACAGCTGGTTGTCACTTGATTCTCAGAACTTCCTCTTTTACCTTCTGTAGTCTGGCCTCATCTTGACACAAGTGGGAGCAGTGTCCGGAGACAGCAGATACTGAACGGGGATCTTGTGTTGTTGCAGGGGTTGGTGCCATTCGAAGATGTGGCTGTGTCTCTAACCTGGGAGGAGTGGGAGCGGCTGGACACAGCTCAAAAGGACTTCAGGGAGAGCACACATAAGGATGGCGGGAGCACAGTCATGCCTAGTGAGTGCTGTCCCTCTGCTGGTTTGTAGCAGTGTGTGGTTTGTACAGGGCTGGGTTCACTGTGATCCCTGACCAGGCTGCCATTCACAGACATTGTCTGAGAGCTATGGAGTTTGTTTTGTGACCCAGGCAGAACCTCTCTATTGTGCATTATTAAGTAATAGATTCATGTCTTCATTTTGGTTTACTTCTAGTGTTTCATACATACAGAAAAGTTTTTTTTGTTTTGTTTTGTTTTGTTTTGTTTTTTTATGAGCAAAATTAGCATCTATATATCTATCAGCCAGGTTTATCAGATCTTAATATTTGATCATATTGGCTTTTCCTCCCAGAATGTTACAGCTATAGGTGGAGCCGTTTGTATCCACCTTGAAGCTGTTCTCTCTTTCTTCAGAAGTAACCAGTATCCTAATTGTGGCATTGATCATTTCCATGTATGTTTCCTGTTCTTGCAGCCATGGACTATATATATCATTACTGTATGTTTCTTTTTACTCAACATTACATTTTTGAGATTTATTCATGCTGATACATGTAGCTCCTTTTTAAAAAAATAATTATTTATCATTATTATTATTTTTTTTGGGGGGGGGGAGAGGTTTTTGCTATAGGGCGCATGCGCTCGCCAGAAAGACAGAGACAGAGAGACAGAAAGCGAGAAATCACCCCCCCAGGGGGGATGGCCACGCCACAATCCCTTCTCCTCCATTCTCCTCTCGGGATCTTGGGCACACACGCACACGTGTCCTTAAACGTGAGTTTAAGCCACCAGGTCCAGGACTCAAACCTCGATTGGCTATATGGGAGTCCAGCAACATAGCCATTATGCCAATTGCTGGTCCCTATTTATCATTAATTTTTAATTTGACCAGAGAGAAGGAGAGAAGGAAAGTGAATTTGACCATAAAGAAACAGAGAGAGAAAGGGAGATAGAGAGAGACAAAGAAAGTGAGAAAACAACCTACCAGGTCCAAGACTCAAACCATGGTCTGCCATGTGGGAATCCAGCATTCTAACCACCATGCTGGCCCCATATGGCTCTTTTTTTTAACACCTATATATTTCACTATATGAATATTCCAAAATGCTTCTGTCCATTGTATCCATGGGTGTTATAAGATTACATTGAACACTTTCATACATTTCTCCCCGTGTTTATGTATAGGAGTTGGTTTTTCTTTTTTTTTTTTTTGAATTATTTTATTTAACTTTATTTATTTATTTAAATTTGACCAGAGAGGGGCAAAGTGTGAGAGAAAGAGAGAAGGGAGGGAGGGAGGGGGAAAGGGAGGGGAAAGGAAGAGAAGGGAAGGGAAGGAAAGGAAGAGGGAAAGGAGGAAGGGAAGTGAGAAAGCAAGCCACCAGGTCTAGTACTCAAACCATCGTCTGCCATGTGGGAGTCTAGTGCCTTAATCACCATGCTACCTACCAGCCCCATGTACAGTAATTTCTGAAGAGAATATACTGTGATAAGTGCCAGTTTTGCTGTCCAAGGACCTACTAGCCTATTTATATGCCTATCAGAAGGATATGAAAGCATTTTTTCCTTCCACATTCTCATTAGTACTTGGTATTTATCAGCTGATGGCATGAGGTCTTTACAGCCCAAATGTTTTAGATGTTGGGTCACGTCACTGCTCAGGACCTGTGGTGGCTCCCATTTCACACAGGGTAAAAGCTGTTGGCCTGTGATGTCAGGTGGATTGAGGCTTAACCACCCATCCCTTGCTCTGCACCTTCTCCACTCTGCTCTGGCCACACTGCCTTGCAGTTGCTAAAAATCCCAGGCAAGCTGCTTCCTGTTCTTTGTGCTTGTTGACCTGTCTGCCTAGAGTAGCCTTCTTCTGGATCTCCACTAACCAAATTCCTGACTTGCTTCAAGTATTTACTCAAATTGCTCCTTTTCGTGAGGCTACCCTGACTACCTTGTTTAATGCTGCAGTTTGCCTTCCACTGCCTCACTACCTCCTGCACTTCTTTTTTTTTCTTTTTTTGGAGAGGTTTTTACTATAGGGTGCATGCCACCAGACGGACAGAGAAATCACCCCCAGGGGGGATGGCCACGCCGTAATCCCTTCTCCTCTATTCTCCTCTCGGGATCTTGGGCATGCACCTTAATCACCATGCCACTTGCAGGCCCCCTATTTCCATATTTCTAAGTAGGATGCTTATTTTGCTATTTCCCCACCACCACCACTATTTTTTGTTATCTCTTTCACTTTTCTTTAATTACCAGAAAGTGTGTGCACTTGCCAGATAGAGACACAGAGAGACAGAGAGAAAGCATCCCCCATGGGACATGGTCACACTAAAATCCCTTCTTCGATCTCGTCAGGATCTGGGGCATGCACACACATCCACCCAACATGTTTTTCAAATCTCCAGGGCTGGGACCCAAACTGTGGTCAAACATTTGGTATCTGATCCCTTAACCATTAGGCTATAAGGCCAGCCCTATAAAGAATTCATTCCTACAAAATGTACATACTTAGCAGTATATAATTTCCTCATAGTTAAACCAGTGTTTTTAGTTAATTAACTTACTCTCTTTCATTATTATCTATTCTCAGCCACATAATGTTAGTTCGTTAGTTTAGGTTTTTCCATAGGGCACATGCATTCAATGGAGAGATACAGTGAGAGGGAAGATGAGAAATCATACCTCTGGGGGAGGGGGGGATGGCTATGTTGCAGTCTCTTCTCAGTTTCCTCCTGGGATTTGGGGCACACACATAAGTGCTTTCCAAGCTGCCAGGACTTGAACCACAGTCATTCATGTGGGAATTCTTTACCTTAACCACTATACCACCTGCTGGCCCCTTCTACTTTTTAATTTAATTTACTTAGTTTTAGTTTGTAATAGGGAGTAGCACTCTCTAGAAAAAGACAAACAGAGAGGGAGGGAAAGTGAGAAATCACCACCCTAGGGGATGATCACTTTGCAATCCCTTCTCTTCTTTTGCTATTTTGAGTGCATATACATAAGTGTATTTGTTTATTCTTTTAAAGAATTATTTATTTATTACTACTTTTGAATGTGACCAGAGAGAGACAGAGAGAAAAGTAAAGCGAGAAAGCAAGCTACCAGGTCCAGGACTTGGACTGTAGTTAGCCATGTGGGAGTCCAGCTGCCCTAAACACCACACCACCTGCTGGCCTTGCTTTTTTAGAGATTCTTTTGCTATATGGCATATGCACTTGCTGGAGAGACAGAAAGCGAGAAATCACCCCCCCAAAGGAGATGGTCATGCTGCAATCCTTTCTCCTCTTGTGATTTTTTTGAGCATGCACACACACACACCCAGTGTAAGTTTCAAGATTCTAGGTCCAGGACTCAAACCAGCAATGTAATAATTATGCCATTTGCTGATCCCATCCAGTATATTTTTCAAGGTGCTGGGTCTGGGACTCAAACCACAAAGTCAGCCATGTGGGGTCCAGCTTTAAACACCATGTCACTTCCTGGCCCCATTGTCTTTTATAACTTTTTGCCTCTGAAATTCTTAATGTCTCATTTTGCATGTTCCTACTTTTATAACCATTGACCACTGATTTCACCCACAAACTCTCTTAGAAATGTCAAACTCTTCTCTGTATGTTCAAACATCAGGTAATGCTACCAGTTTTATTCCTCCCTTTGGAGAGATCCCTGCTGAAGCTTCCTCTGCTGCAGTGTGAACATGCTATTTTTTCCCTGGGCCTGTTACACAGCTGTTGTTCTAGGACATCCTTTTCACTATCACCCTGGGAATTCCTTTTCTCTTTGCTGGCTCCCATAACATTTTCTTCCTTGATTTACCTTCTTGATTTGGTGGAGAATATCTTCCAAAAAATATATTCTTGGGAACTAAATCTTTTGAAACTTTGCATGTCTGGAAATGTCTTTATTCCTCTCTCACATTTAGACCAGAGATGGCTATGTGTAACATTCTAGGTTAGAAATCATTTTGAAGACAGTGTTTTTTTCCTAGTTAGTTTACCATGTTGCTATTGAGAAATCTGATGCCATTGTGGTATTTTATCCTTGATGTAAGCCTCTTCTGTGTATCTGCTTGTGGCTGGACCTGTCAACAGAAGTAAACATTCTTGCTCTGCCTGGCTTATTCTTTTAGAGCAAACAAGTTTGGACCTGCACAGAGGAAAGTACTTTGAAGTTCTGTCAATTTTATATCAGTTTTCACTTGATTCCCCTAATTTGAGAGTGATTTCCTGTTTCAACTGTGCCTAAAGTCCCTGATCCAGAATTTATGTATCAATAGTTAAGTCTTCCTAAAGAGTAAACTGCAAAAATTCTGGAATGGGGAATGGAATCTCGTGGCCCACTTATTCCTAGATGTTTACCCAGTCCTAGGTTTATCTCTCAGCCTGACCCTGCCTTCGTTGGAAGCACAGCTGTGTCTGTCTTTATAATTCATCATAGGAATGGAATTGCTGTTAAACCATCCTTTAAGTATGGGATAAAGGCAACACTGCTCTTCTAGGTGCTCTGTTCAGATTTACCTCTCGTGATACTGTGATTCATACAACAGTGGAATGGGGCAGAGGGAGGAGATGGGCTGGTGGCTATACGCATAAGCAGCAGGGTTTACACTGGTAAGTGTGTGCATATTTGACAAGTTAAAGTTATTTAACTTATGGGGTGGTTTAATGGATAGTGTTTATAAAGGATTTTTAAGATTGTCTCTATGTTAGCAGATGTTTAGTTCACTCTTGCACAGGAATGTAATGCCAGAAATCTGTATTTTAATGTTTCAGGTTCAGAAACCAGAGCTGAGACCCAAGAGTTGATTGCAAAACAAGAAATTTTAGAAGAAGCAGAGCCACAGGGGCAGCTACCAGAAGCATCTCAAGGAAAGACCTCTGTTTTTCCCGAGTGTGGTGATACCCATGAGAATAGAGTAGAAATGCACTTAGAAAAATCCTCATCACTTAAACTTGAAAATTCTCCTGAAGAGCAAGGTCTCACCACTGTCTCAGAGCTCAACAAGAATGATTCCAAAGATAAGGGAGACTCTAAAAATGATGAATTTGGAAGCAATGCAAGAAATTTCAACTCTGTTTTTTGTCAACGAGTCCAGACAACAGAGAAGCCCGCTGATGGTGCTGAATATAGGAACAAATG